GAAGAAGAAGTAAGTAAGTAAGTAGTAGTAGAGAGAGAGAGAGAGAGAGAGAGAGAGAGGGAAGAGTAATTAAAAAGTATAGAGAAAAGGCGACCGGAATATAATCCGGTTTCTGACCGTACGAATTCTCTGATCCCAAACAGGGATATTTCAGAGGAAAAGGTGGCCATCCTTGCTTCTTAGCCTTTAATTTTATCAGCAACCTTTAACAACGTATGCTATCTTTGTTTCCTTGATTACTCATTGGGCTAGAGAGTAGAGAGAGAAATTACTTTTTTTTTAATGCAGAGAGAGAAACTATCGATAACAAATAGAGGCGCAATAACGGCTAGACTCTAGAGACTCAAGGCTCCAAAGTAGTCCAAAACACTAAACCAGAAGTAAGATTTAGTGCCGTCATACTAGAATGGAAAAAGTTCATGTAAGTCTGAGGCTATGAACAATCAAATTGAAGCACCTTAAAAATTTACTAGAATAGCTTGTTTTGATGGCCAAAAATCTTCGAATTAGCTATGGACTTTAAAATGTACGGACATGAAAAAAAATAGATTTTAAGTATTGAAAATAGTACATCTTGTAATAAATTTTCTATAAAATCAATTTTCATGATTATCTACAGCTCATAGAACTGCTCAATATGCACTATTTAGATACTTGAAGTTTTATAATAAGACATGAAAATAACTATTCATGCCATCTTTCGGTACTAAAACATTTTTGGACACCATTTGAAGGTGGACCTTATTTTTATCCTTTAGGGCCTCGGCCTTATACAAACCACACCCTATTAGAATTAGGTCGTATTGAGAGAGATGCATTGATTATTGTTGACGTATAAAGAAACTAGGAGAAATGACTGTTGAAGTCCAGTAAAAACAAGTTTGTAACTGAAATAGCAAACAGTACGTACGTGGTAGTGGCTTATATATTGGCCTGAAAAAAAAACAATTACTGGCTCGTACATGACCTATGCTCCCGAGGGAGCATGCTTTACTTCTACTCCAACTTACTTTGGAGGATTTTTTTTCAATCTGAAATTTAGGGGAGCACTTAAGAATTACTGGATAATTATATGTATAAAAAATTAAATTTTGAATTTTCTAACATGTAGATCTCACCATCGAAAAACTTCATGGTCTCTATTCAATCTCAGGACCTTTTTTTTTTTTCAAGTCGATGGAAAGTACAATTAGAATATATTTTTTATTGAGATTAATCTATAGGTTGAAGTGGTTTCATCTTCATAATTTTGGGTCCTAAAATTAATTCCAGGTTGGGTTCTACCTTGCAGTAAATGGACATTCTACCCCTGCGGGAGTATAATACCTTTTGGAGTGAGAAAAATAAGGAGAGAGAGGAGAGAGAGAGAGGGGCATTGATGGTTGTATACAAAGAATTTATTGCTGGATACAAATAAAGAGGACATGGTACTATCATATACTGTTATCCATTCTCCAAAGTTCAGTAAGTACTTGACCTTTTTATGGTCGTCCTAATAACCATAGATCCTCTAATTTTTCTATTTTTTCGAAAGTTGAAATAGTCCAAATTTCCAAAATTATTAACCAACTATTGCATACCACAGGAACATATTGTGTCCTTACTCCTTCAGTCAAAAGGCGTACTTGACAGAGAATTTTTTAAGTATTAAATTTTGAAAACCACCTAAGAATTACTATATGATTATCTTAAAAATAACTTCTTTTGTTTTGTTTTTTGTGACTTATATCTGTCTTTCAAAAATTGGACGGTCTCCATTGAATCTGGAGATGTTATTATTTTTCTAGTAGTTCAATTAGGAAATAATTTATTTACTCAGATTAGTCTATAAATTGAAGAGGTTACGTCTACAAATTTGGGGATCCCAAAATTTACTCATTGGATTTTTTGGAAACGGAGTAAATGAACAGTGTACCCCAGTACCAATACAATAAGAAATGGAAAAAAAAGAAGAAGAGAGGAGTGAGGTGATTTCGGGATTCTTCGGTACTCCGAGTGTGATCACATTTTTTTTCTTTTTTTAAAACGGCAATTTTAAAACTCGGATCGGTAGGGCAGATAGTTCACACTCCACACACATACGTGTGTCTCTTATTGTTGGATGGATGATCTGGATGGATAGGTTCAAATTGATGATACATAAAATATTAAAAATAAATAAACTAAAATAAAAATTAGAATAGGAGTTTGCGAGTTGGGATTTGGAATGGATTTAAAAAAGCATTAGATAAGCTATATATATATATATATAGTTTTAGGGAAAATCAGGCCAAAACAATACCATTTTAGAACTGTTTCAATTCCGACCGATTCTCATCCAAAACCTCAATCTGGATAAAAGATTGCCATATTTTAAAACACTGTCTTAACTAAATCCCGTTTAAAGGTTAAATGGCCTAATTTGATTTTATTGACAATCCACCCATATTGTTAATTTCATCAAAATAGCACGTACAACTTAGAGCGCATAAAAGACACCCGTCTTACGTTTTCATATTTTGGTGGCAATTATCACATTAGTGGCTTTGCAAGCCCCTAATTCCGCTTTTATTTTTCAACCCACAATTTTGCTATATGCGGCCATTTTGTTGATACTTTGTGCCAAAATATGGGTGAAAATTTAGAATGTTGTTCACTATTTGAATTTTTCCCGGGTCTCAAAACTTGGTGATTTGGATTCGAATCGTCGATCTAAAAAAAGAAGAACCAAAAACCAAATCAATTTTAGTAAGATACCCGACACAACCCTCTCTGAGACGACCTATTTCATATTTTTCATTTTAAAAGCTTATCTACTTTTTTTCCTCAGTCCCCAAAATTCCCCAGCATAAATCCCAGTTTTAGATTTTTTTATTTTATTTTATTTTTTTTAAACCTTTTCCTGGATGGCCAATTCGATTCCCAAGCCCTCTTCCCATACATGAAGAGTACAGGACTACAGGAAAAGTTGGGTTGCAAAAGCACTTAACAAAACCTTGTCTATTTTACAATAATTTCTCCATTTTGTTGCTTTTATGTGATGTGACTAGAAAGGATGGCATGTACATACTGTTACAGGCATAATTGAGAAATCATAACTTTGTCCAACAACTTCTTCTCTGACCTCATAGAAAGTGAGAGATTCCTTGAAACGAGAGATTCGCCGAAATTTCGGTGTCTGTTTTGCCATTTTTGTCAGTTCTCGTGAACCTAAAATTTCGCCCATTTTCGCCGTAAAACTGAAACATGGGTCACACCGCCAGAGTTGAGATACCCGTCCCATCAAGGGTCACCGTAACTTTTCGAAACTTACGGCTTTATGACCCGCCTTCCTAAAAGCTTTGACTTTTGCTTTTACGTTATTCAAATTTCAAAAAATGTTTGATGACTTGATTGAATTTTGCTGAGAACTTAATATGAAATTAGTAAGAAAATTACCGGGGAATATATGGTAGGTTAATTTTGCCTAATTTGGATTTTCGTTGGCTATGAAGTTGAGACCGAAAACCCCGGATCCGCACATTTTTAATCCTCATAAACATAAAGGAAAAAATTTATATAAGGGTGAGGCAATAAACAATCAACTTAAAGTGGACCTAAAAAATTCACTAGAAGATGTTGTTTCGGCGCACATAGGTCCTCTAATTGATCATATGCTTCTCAATATATATGGTTTTAAAAAAAAAATGAATTCTAGTTTTGAAAATAATGCATCTTGTAATGCATTTTTTAGTCTGTCAATTTTTAAAATTTCTAAGTGTTCATAGATCCGTTCGATGTACACTATTTATTAAGCTTTAAATTTTATAATTAGAGATAAAAAGAAATCTTAAGGTCATTTAAAAAAATTTCAGCACTTACACAACATCTATTGACACTATTTGATGTAGCGCCTTACTTTGATTTTTTAGAGCCTCAACCTTATACAAACCACACCCATTTAAATAAAATAAAATTTGATCTCTGTCGTATCCTCAACATTATTGTAAGTATTTAGATGTAATTTCTGCCATTCTTTGATAAGCGGGTGAAACTTTCAACGAAACAAATATAATGGTGAGAGAGAGAGGCAACATTAGAAAGCGCATCCCCATAAATTAGTATAGATAGTTCAAGAAAGAGAAAAGTACATTAATTGCATTAGAGAGAGGCAATTGATGTTTATCAAGCTATCAATCCATACCAACAATGTCATGTGGTACTCTATTATACAAGAAAGGCAAAACCATAATAACATTTTCTTATTTTAAAAAAAGAAAAGAAAAAAAAGAAAGGCAAGACCTTAAGCTTATTCAAGTGGTCAACTATATCATGGTTGGTGTGAATTAACCTTCAATGCCATAATTCTCTATAGAGCTTAGGATTGCTTGCTAAGGACAGAAAAATAATAAACAAGGCATGAATTTCACAACTTTTATGTAAATGGAGATTTCCTTGACATTCTTCTCTAGATGTGAGCTTCCCTAACAACAGATTCCTCAACAGTTGGTGTAAACAACAAGGAACCTTTCAACTTATCAATGAATTGAGATACAAATAGGATATTTTTAAAAAAATTAGGAGCAAAAAAAACATCTGATATTTTTAGAGGAACCAAGACGAGGCAATATCAATATGTGTGATGGGAACTGAAGAACCATTTTTGAAAAAAAGTTAGAAGCAAGAAAAACATCTGATATTTTTAGAACAACTAAAGACGAGACAACAAAAAAATGCCAATATGTATGATGGGTACTGAGGAATATCACCTATAATGATGCAATACAAATCATTATAGAGAATAATTTCAACAAGCTTACCTAAATCATTGACTACATGGCTTAGCTCCACTTGACTACGATCCACCCCGTCTTATAAGGCTCCATGTGTGACTTGGCCCAAAAAGAGTGAGTAAGAGAAATACAATGGGCCTCCCAAAGCCTGGC